GATTATAAACACATTCAATTTTTTAATTATCTGTCATCAGAATTGCTATTTATAGCAGTTTGCGCGTCGTGCAGAAGTCAATTTTATCGCGTACTATATCTCGCAAGGAGAAACCTCGATATACGTATAGAATTTTGTATGTGTGAGTGAAGTTTTGAAAGTATGTTAAAAGTTGCAAGTTAGATGTCCATAGTTGGCCGTTCCTTCAAACTATCGATTTGAATCTTAAAATATGTAGGTCGTTGAATCGCGTCGAATTTTTCCTTTTATATTCTTACCATCTATGAGAGGATCAGAAAAGTCTTATGTTATGTTCTTCTAAAGAATTTTCTTTTCTTTTATACATCATATAGGCAAGTACCTAAGAATTTAATATATGTATGTACTATGAAAGGTTTTACCATTAGTTTTCTATGTATGTATGCATAACATAAGTCGGTCGAACAAAAGTATGATCTGTTCTTTGCGTTTGTCTATGGAAGGAAGAGAAAGGGCAGAAATAGTAGGTGTAAGAATGAGATGAAAGTGCGGCGTGAGCGAGATAAGCAATGAATGCGTATGCACGAATGTAAGTGGGGACTCTGGGGTGTACGTGATCTAATCATCATCGCAAAAAGTTTTCGTTTGATTCGTAACTTGACATTGAAAGTAGCCGTGCCGATTTGATGACGATCTATACAAATATATTTAAAGTAAATATTTATAACACGATGTCATTATATTTATAATAATAGCATATAGTCTGTTTTCGATGCAAATACCTAATTATTTTAATGTAAACAGGAAAGCAAAGTTGATACACATTTGAAATGTTTTTTTTTTTTTTAAGATACTTTTTTTAAAGACGATAACATTTATTTAAGTACAGACGTTCATTGATATTGAATATACATCCTCCGTCTATATATCTATATAAAATATTAATAATAAATATTAATAAAGGGGACTATAATTTTTTATATGAGGAGGGTTGTAAACATATGAAATATAAAAATATGATTAAATATAAAATAAAATGTTGCTTTTGCTTTTGTATATGTAAAAAAGAAATATTATGAATGAACAAGTAGTAATTAATTAAAAATTTGTAAGAGGAAAAAAAAGAAAAGAAACGAATAGCGTCGAGTTTCTCTAATAATTGTTCTGATAACATAATGCGTAACATAAAACAATTTTTAAACGTAACTATTAACTTGTCAAAGTATATACATCTTAAAGAACTTTTTCGTTCCATTTTGTCGATGTCGATATTATAAAGACCTATAGAGTTCTGGTTCAATTTGATGATATTTAAATTGAAAAATTCAAATCGATTTTTTTGAAAGAAAAAATGAGCAGGAAATATTTAAAGATATCTCTTTACTCACCAAACCCCTTCAGAATATTTTCAAGTTTACTTCAATATCTCAAATGTATATGTCGTGGTCTCTTCTTATCAGTGCGATACTCTCTCACGTACGGTCCCTCTCATCTCGTCCGTCGTCCTCAAATCTTGGCATTCATGATAAAAATCGAGTGTTTCGGAGTACAATTTTGCTAGAAGCTCTTCTCTTGACTAGCACTATACAAGAAAAAAAGAATGGAAGAAGAGAAAGAGGAAGAGATTCTTGGTGAATGAAGCGCGTGGAATAAATTTGCTCCAACACGGCCATACTGGTATTGAATTTCGTTCTTTTTTTCCTTCGTCTATCATTTCAGAAGACTGTTTTACGACTGGTTACGAAACTTTGAAGTACTCGAATAAATTGTGGGAGAGTGAGATAGAATCGAACCATCTTTCTTTTTCTTTTACTCCCACCCCCCCTCTCTCTCTCTCTCTCTCTCTCTCTCTCTCTCTCACTTTACGTCCTCCGTCTCGTCCTTTCCTACATTGCCTCTCTATCGTGATTCCAAAAGATCTTCAATTTTTAACACAAGTACCAAAGTGCAGTTGAAAATTCATATATCGAATTTCTATGTGATTCTAAGCAGAGACGAAAAGAAATTAAAGATCCTTAGAAATTAAACTTGAAGCATTAAGGAAGCGCTATCGGTTTTTCTTATACTTCGTTAAAACATGCAATAATTCTTCCCCATCCATCCTCCCCGAAAAAATTCCATCTTATCTCCCAGTGCAAAATTCATATTTCTTCGATATTGCATCATCGAAAAAAAAAAATAGCATATTTATTCGTATGTTATGAGGAAACGAATTAAGCCGGAAGAAGTATCTTGGAAAGCAATATAATATAAATTACGGCCTTAAACAATCTCTAAATGTTCTATATTTAATATATTAGAATATAAAGTATTTATTATATATATATATATATATACATATAAGATAAAGTATATTTTATATATAGAATAAAGATATATTGTAATATATTTTTTTTTGTTTGGGCTATTTTTTATTCAACGAAGAAAATATATCGAATATCCGAACGATATATCGGAAGTATATCGAATGAAAATACAATCTTATTATATTACATTCGTTAGACGAACTATACATTTCGTTTTCTATTAATTTCTCCTGGTGTATTTTTTTTTCTTTTTTTTTTTTTTTTGTAAAAGAAGATCGAACTTTATAACTTTTTGATATCTTAGAGAAAGAAAGAGAAAGAGAAAATTGAAGAGTTACTTTCGAGAAGGACACTTTACGTAGTCAACCGTTGAAATGAACGATTAGAAGCCGCGTTCAAAAAGAAAAATCCTTATCGAAAAAATTTTTTCGATAGGAATGCATTCACCTATCCTTCCTCACCCTTCTCCATTTCTTTTAATCTTCCTCAATGTCCCTTCAATCAGGCAGGTGTTTCTATTCTTCTTTCTTTTGTTCATCGACGAGTCAGAATCAACGTTACTAATTGCGATATCGTTTTTTTTTTTTTTTTATACTCTCGTGACTATTTGAGCGTAGACGAACTGGTCGATTGTCCTTGTTTTCTCATCGTCGCTTCTTCTCAAGCAGAATCGAGAAGCTCTTGACTGATAGTCTTTGATCAATTCTCTCTTTTCCTTCTTTTTTATTTTTCTTTGCTTTTCCTTTTCTTTTCTTTTCTTTTCCTTTTTTCTCTTTTTTTCTTTTTTACACCCCTTTTACTTCTTAGACGCATGTTCCTTTTTGGGTTGAGAAATTCTTTCTACCATTATTTCGGCTCTTCGTCTTACGCTCGAAAAAATACTTAAAAATATTTTCATCCTGGCGTATTACAATCTTGATTCGCTAATGGAGATCGAAAACTTTCAATATATTTTCAACCCATATTCGTTACGCCATTTATAAAGTATTTTACTATTCCTTATATAATATTCTTGCTGCGATCATTATATATTTATTTTTGTTCACATTTGAATAATATTTTTATTTTTTCGAATGTATTTTTATCGAATACGATAAAAATAGATTTCAATAATGTAATAGGCTTTATATAAATCGATAACGTACAATTGTGAACAGGAAAAAATTCATCCATTCTCAAAGCTATCATTGATTCTAAATAATAGACGTGACGTATTGTAAAGCAAAACTTTTCATCTTTAATATTTTATCGCACCTAACAATTGAAATTTACTTCAAATATTAAAGTAATTTGAAATTTACTTCATAGAAAATAAGTTATGTGTCGTGTCATTACGACTAATGATATAATTTTATTCTAATCTTTATAATTTGCTAACTGAGAGACGTGGTTGTCAAAATAATGAAGAAGAACAATGAAAAAGAAAAAGGAAGAAACCTCAAGGCTCATTTTTCCAAACTTCGAAAGTCCATTAACGAGATTAATTCCCAAGGAATGGAAGCATACGTACAATGGCATCATTGGTTACGGTTGACTGCGGTGAATGCAAGAAGAAGAAGAAGAAGAAGAAGAGAGATATGCCGCAAAAAATAAGGAAGAGATAAAAGAGGAAAAGAAGTTGCAGAAAAGGATCTAGATCTTAATGGTGTTAAAATTTGCATTAGGAAAAGCGTATGGATATTGATCCTTGATATTCGAATAACATGCGAAAGAGAACAAAGATAAGGAGATAAAAAAAAAAAAGATAGAAAAAGAAAAACGAATACGAGTATTTTGTAGAAGAAATTATTTCGCGCTATTGAACTCTCCGTAAAATCTTTTTATAGGAAGGAGTCAGGCAATCAGGTAGATGGGTACGAAAATTGACACGTACGATGAGTGAAACTTTAACGTTCGTCGTTTACGCTTACCATCTACGATGTCACATACGATTGGAAATTGAACGAACCGATGAACTATGATTCATTATCAATGGAAAGTCATAAGCTCTGTCGCATATTTTTCCTTCGTTTTATCATTGATTGCATTATCGAAACAATCGTAAAATTAATTAACATGAAAGAATCATCCGGGTCGAATATCATTTATGCGAACTTTGATTTTCATTGATCTTTACAATAATATAGTATATAATAGAAAATGTGTCTTTTCGAAGTTTTCCTAACCGTTTAAGAACCTTGGAATGTGCCAATTATGAACTCTTCCACCTCTTTGACACTTTCCAATTTTAACACTTCAAATGTTTTGTATACTAGCTCCATCTTAGGCTTTTTATACTTTTTAATACTTAGCTCTTCATACATTTGAACTTTTAATACCTTTTAACACGAATGGATATTCGTCGTTCGTTTTCGTATATGTTATTAAAAAATTAATAACACGTACGAAAGAAACATACTATCAGGGATATAAACTTTATTAGAGTCATGCATCTTTAAAGTGCATTTAAATTGTTAATACTGATTCGACAAAACGTTTCAAAATTATTTCTTCTTTCGAACATCCCTTCATAAACAAGAACACGCGGTAACGCGGAAGAAATGCAAACATATAAAGAAAGTAGAAAAAGGAAAACAACGATGATAAAGAAATAAAAAAATAAAAAGTGATGCTACAGGTACCGACGAAAAGATAGATTTCAAAACGAATGGACGCGCTTGAAATCATTCAAAATACAAAAGTATAGTGCAAGTGTACGATGATCGAGATTCTTACCTTGAGGCGAATGTCCGCGAAGGAGGACATTGAGCGCGTACCGACACCCTCTGTTCCCTCTTCTCCCCTTGTCTCTTGAAACTTTACCGGATAGACACAGCAGGATGATGACACAGCCCGGTTATGATTGTATTCTTTACTTAAAGGAATTATTTAATATAGAGATTGATAATTGTTAGATCTTGAAGTAACATAGATCGTCGGAGCTAGCAGCGGCACGTGAACACCACGGCCGAGTGGCGCAACTGAACTCCGCTGAACCGAGTTGGAGCTTAACTTAGCGGAGAGAGGGAGGCAGCGACCGAGGAAGGGTGAACGAGATCGGAAACGATGTGAGGGTGGGGGAGAGGAAGGGAGGGTGGTTGGACAGAGAAAGAGAGAATCGTAACGAATGATGGGAATTGAAGGAGGATGGGAAAAGCTTTGCTATCTGGCTCTCACTCAGTTCACTTTTTGTTTCCTTTCGTCTTTTCTCTCTGTCTCGTCATTTCCATTTGTTCTCCACCAAGCTCTCTCTCTCTCTCTCTCTCTATTAGACTTGGTTCTTTCACTCTCTCACATACACACACATATACACGCACACAACATCGATTTGTCGACAGTGGCGCAAGCGTCGCGATCCGCCGTATGCGCGTTCTCGAGTTTTCGCTCTTCGCGCGCGTACCGAGAGCCAAGATCCCACCAATCCGGAAGTTCTCACGCGCGCTTTTTTCCGTTCTTTGCCTCCCTCACGTTTATCGAGGAATTCCTCCTCTCTCTCTCTCTCTCTCTGTCTCTCTATCTTTCTTTTTGTGCAATGTGGATCATTGAAACGTGAATTACGTAATGATTTCGGTATAAACAATGCAATGGAATACGTGAAACAGAATAATTTCAATAAAATGTTGAACGGTTAATGATTCCGTCTGGGTCGGGTTTTTCTCTTCTCTCTTTTTTTCCGCCTTTTTCTTGACAACGAATATTTTCTCAACCCTTTCATTTCTTTTTTTCTTATCTTTTTCGTTTGGACCATTCTTTAGAAATCTATAGACGCATTGCAGTTTAAATATCTTGAAGGTCTTAAATCTTCAAAAGAGAGACAGAGAAAAAACTTCTTTCCCTCTCTCTCTCTCTCTCTCTCTCTCTCTCTCGAGATTCACTTCTAATTAATGAAAAAGAAAAAAAAAGAAAAAACTTTGGAAATCCAACCACAATACTAATACGTGTACATGAATATTTATCTACGTTTGAATTAGTAACTTGTTAGCTTAAAAGACGAATTGGAAGGTATGCGTCTTCTGTGAGAGCTTATAAAAGAAGTGTTACAAAAATGCATTTGTACAGAGGGGATGAAAGTTATTTAATCATTTGATATCATTAATTCTAGAATTTAAATTAAGATCCATGTTACTCGACGTTGAAATATAATATAAATCGAGTAGATTACTTTTTAATTAATATTTTAAATGACACGAACGTATTAAAGCATACAACATACGGAAAAAACAATTCGAAATTCAAAATGACATGTTCGTTGTTTTCTACACGTTTTTAATAAAAGAACCATTTAAAATGTACGGGAATTATCCGTAGAAATAAAAATCACCTGGTGTTAGATAACGGTATCAAATAACTTTCCAACCTCAACTTTGCGGAGAATCGAATTAACCATTTTTCGAGATCTCTCCAGTGCAAATGTTTTCGAGTTGGATGGCATTAGATTCGATGATAGCCGAAAGAGTACACTTTTGAATCGGAGAAGAACAGCACGTTTTAAAACCTTACCTATAATACTTACAAAAAAAAAAGTTAAGCGAATAGTAGAATTCGATACGCTTATATGTAATAAATGTACCTATCAAAAGAATTGACTTTCTTTTAGAGTAAATTACCAATAAAAGATTTTTCATTGCTTTGATGGAGTTCAATAAATTGCTTTTTTCGAGGAATAAAATTAAATTACATCAACAAAAGAGACAACTTTGTAGCGATCTGCAAGTTGCTTTCACAGATAGATTGCGAAAGCATTTTGCAGGCATTACTATTTAATAGTCTCGCACAATGATATTCAATGCAAACACGTATTTGTCTTTATTTCGATTGATTTATATTTCATAATAGATTTATTTTGTGTGATGTTGTATGGAAATTCATTGGCGGATAACGAGTTCTTTTTAATTTGTTAGAGATATATAAGTAATGCTCCAAAATGCTTTAGTAGGATGCTATAAGAAGGACTATCATTTCTAATAAATTCATTAATAAATATATAAATTCACTGATAGAATCTATCCGATCAACTAATGAATGTTTATCTATCCCCACACGTACGTAATTCATTTTCACGGTTTAGTTTGCGTTCGTGCAAATAAACTTCAGAAAATACGTATTTATAAATGTCAAACTTATTCTTTTTAAAAGAAAAAACGAAAGATTGTTGCGAGAGCTTACACTATGCGAACTGTTTTTCAATTAAGATCTCAAAATTATATCATAATTTTAATGTCAAATAAGAAAAGTTGCGTAAACTTTTTATCTCGATCTATTATTTATTATAGATCGTATAATAAAATAAACTGAGGAACGGATCGATAAAAGTATTTTGTAATTAAACTCTTATTAAATCGATCTGTATTTCCGGACTAAGCGTAAATCAATTAACTTGAAATCATATTAGGGAGTAAACACAAGCAGGTATCGAATTGACGAGAAAATTAATGGTGTTTACGACAAAACAAACATACAAAGTTCACATCTGCATCGAAAACTGTAATATTTTTGAAAGAGGATCCTTGCCAATAGCAACAACGAAGGATTTTAGAAAATCCTTCGACGTAACCTTCTGTCTCTCATTAATTCATGTGCGAAATGCACAACAAGAATGGTTCGACTTAAGTGGGTCGGGACTTGCGATTGATTAAAGTCTCGAGATACCATTCCGCTTGGTTCGCGTGAATTTTTAATGAGAATCAAGTCTCGCAGAAACACAAGTACCGCGATCGGTTCTCAAGATGATACATCCTCTTCAATGAAAAGCGGAGAGAGCTGAGAGCAAAGACAAGAAGCAGAAAGAAAGAGACAGGGGTGGGTCCGGTGAGATGGAGAGAAATTGAAAAACGGAAGTGGAGAGTTCTCAAGCTTCTTTGTTCGAGATGAATGCTTTCTTCTCAAATTACTTCAGTTATTACAATACGAATACCCATTCTCAATATATATTCTAAAAATTTCTCTTTTCGAACTTCAAATTTCTTGGTACGATTCAAAGAAAGACATTTGACTTCGAGTATGAGAACAAAGAAATCCACTCGCGGGCGACTTTGTCGAGACGAACGTGAATTTTAATAACGATAAATAACAAAAGAGACCTTGTTTTCCGATCCCTAAGAATTTTTTCAAGATGTCATAGACCGTAATATGAGATTTTCATTTCAAGACTGTCAAAAAGATCGATCAAACGATATTATAACCAATGAAATCGTTTCTAACCAGGGTGAACATTTTACAAAAATCCTTTCTATAAAGAAATTTAATCGATGTTAAGCTTTCATGATTGTTAATAAAAGTAGTAAAACTGTATGTAGGTGAGAACATTTCAAAGGTGTTATTAATAAATGAAATAATCCGACAAGCCGTTGGAGTCAAGTTTTTAATTAAAACGTTTAAGATCCACGAAGTCAGGGTGTAAGTAATCTCGGCCCTCGCATTTTATCGCGTTGGTAAATAACGAAATCTCTCGTGAGAGAAGAGAAAACGACGAAGGACGACGACGTCAATGGTTGAGAGAACAAAAAATAAAAGATAAGTCGAACGTTCTTACCGAAGAAGAAGAAGAAGAAGGAGAAGAAGAAGAAGAAGAGGAGAGAATAAATCGAAAAGTGTAAGTTTGCTTTTCTGATATCTTCCTTTTTTCTACTTTTTTATCGTATCTTTCCTTCATAGCCAATATTTCATCGTTGACCAAAAGTCGATGCAAAGGGTAGCGATATCCTTGAAGCTTTACACTAGCCACCAACAAAACTACGCGCTGGGAGAAGTTTTAAAAGCTACGGACAGTTTCTCATGGGACGTTTGCGATCACATTCGTCATAAAAACTCGACGTTAAGATCGACGAGAATGGAACTTATACAAGTGTAAATTTTGAAGCTAGATATCGGCCGAGGAACATCGTTCATCATTGCTTTCTGAATATCGAAGGTTCGTTCATCGAACGTATAAAAAAATATTCAAAATAATTGAAACGCAACGATGACCATGTATATCGAGACAAGAGTGATATCAAAAGTATACGAGAACGAATTGAAATCTTACTTTTTCTTGAAAATCTCTCATAAAGCTTGAAAGGAAATGTTTGATTTGAACGATATTTTTGAAAAAAATACGGCGTTAAATTCCTTTTGGAAGTTAAGAAAAAACGGAAAGAAAGATCGAAATTGGTGACAAAGCTCTTTTTTTCCTGATCAACGAGTTCGATAAAACACTTTTGCAGCATCGATCCCGGAGCTTGCACGTTACATCGGCAGACGTTGTAGAAGGAGGGAGAGAGAGAGAGAGAGAGAGAGAGAGCGCGTAGGAGACAGAGCTCGTTTGAGTAGCAAAATTTGTAGCTGAATTTGCAAAACGCTCGCAGCCAACTAGTAGCAATGGTAGTGGTACAGGCAACGCTGACGGCTCTTCTCTGGTTCTTAACTCGGGAGTTTCTCGAACAGGTATAATTCGATGAACCTTACTGCCAGGCTTTGCTCTAAAATATAGAGGCATCGACGTTTATGAAATTATCTGGAAACTTTCGAAAAAGAACTTAAACTTTCGTATAATTCGATATTTATACAGATCGAGAGACATTATTAAATTCCATGGGCAACGTTACGAAAGGAAAAAAGAAGAACAATATAGGAAAAGGAAACGAGAAGGAAAAGAGAATGGAGGGCAAGATATATAGTAAAGTTCACGAGGCTAAGAGAGGGTGGTTCTATGAGGACAGTAACTTTATGGCGACTCGTCCAGAGGGCAGAACACTCATTGCAAGATGGCCGTTGTGCCTCGGCATCCCGTGTGAGTCTCGACCCGTCTCGCCACCTGGATTTCAAGTATACCATCGTTGTCGGCGATCTCGGATGAGGAAAAGAGATACAGTGAGTACCATACGTGTCCAATATTCTTCTATTCAACTTGAAAATCATCTCTTCGTGAGTAATCTCCTTTATATATTCGTATTTTGGAATTATCGTCATTGCGACATGATCGTATCGTCTTTGTTTCCTTGCCAA